TCCCTTCGCTGCGGCCCCACCCTCCTCATGCCCCCCCGATTGCCCCGGTCCCCATCATGCCCTTCATCTACACTGCCCCCCCCCCCATGTGTTAATTCACGTCGTTCCTCGTCGTCCTCCTGCGCCGGATTCGTTCCCCCATCGTCCACATGCCTGCCCTCCTCCCATCCTCTACGCCCTAGTGCACATCATGCCCCCAACTTCTGCCCTCCCCCACCTCCCTCGCCCTCGTGATGCTGACGCCGATGATGCAAATCCTCCTGGGCTCTCTTCCTCCGCTCTCGTCCAGTCCCGTTCATCCTTGGCCCCTCGGCCACCCCTCCTATCGAACCCCTTCCTTCCCACAGCCCACCATCCCCACCCCCCCGCGCCTTTGCATGCCCAGACCACGGCCCCCTCCTGGACCAGCCGGGAGACCCGCGGAAACTCCCGCCCAGTGACCACTCCAGCGAGAGGCGCGCAACAAATGCACAGTTGGAGACACGAACTGTGTATTTCGACCGCGCACGACGCCGCCCCTGGACCAGCCGGAAGAGAAACGCGAAAGTTCCCGTCCATTCAACACCACCCGCGAGGGGCACACTCAAAATACACAGATGGGAACGAGATCTGCGTACACAGATCACACCACGATCTGTGTAAACAGCGGGCCCACACACGAAAATACACAGTTGAAGACACAAGCTGTGTACACAGATCACACCTTGATCTGTGTATTTCGAAACGGTGAACGCTCGCCACCTCGAGGGCGCCCCGACTTTGCCAACCCAGAACCGAGGTCTACATGCCCAGCTGGGGGGGGGATGCAAATACACACTTCCCCGGCCCAGGGCGCCCCCGAGAGAACCGCAAATGCACGCTCCCCTGGCCCAGGGCGGCCGCGGTGCAACGCGGCGCCAAAGCGGCCCCCAACGACCCGAAGACGTCCCCAAAAAGGCCTCGAAGGACCCCAAAGAATGCCGCGCAGCAATCCGAAAACACGAGAGATGTCACATGTCAAGGACCTCTTAACAGTCAAAGCTCCACGCGTCGCCATATAGATCACTGCTCTGGCAAGGGGGGCGGACCTTGCCGCGGGCACCTATAATTTACATGTTAGCGATGCGACTGTGCTCGGCGGCCGTGCCGCCCACATTTTGGGTGCGCCCCGAAATCTCGCATTGGCAATCCCCTCTGTTAGGTTGCGCCGCTGTGCTCGGATATCGAACAAGCATTTACCGCTGACGCGGGCGCGCGGCGCCAGGGACTTCACTTTTCGAACAAGGAGGGTGGACGAGGTAGGACGACGGATGGTGGAGCAGGGAGGCAAAGAGGAACGAGGAATAATGACGGAGGTGGGAAGGGGCTCTCCCCCGCCCGAGCCGCGGACGCTTCCGACACCATCCGGGGGAGGGAGGAAAGGAAGGGGAACGGAGCAAGGGCGAGGACGACGACGGGAAGCAACGCGTCCTGGGTCCGCATATAGCCATATGTCTGCGATTCGGGTGCGCGCGCTTTCTTCGAGGCACTTCAAGCAGGACCCATACTGAATTCACTAATTCCTCAAAACTGTGTAAACACTCTGTCCTCTGTTCCCTCTCCTATACAACGGCCTCATAACAGAGGGGCAGTGGATTCCAAGCGCACTCGCGGCTTCAAAGTCAACAGTATCGGGGCAAAACAATATCTTCCGTGCTTTTTCGAGGGCCCGAGCCAACGCCCCCCAGACATTCCTCGGGATAAGCCCCTGAGCCCGAGCGGGAGCATTGGTGGCGGTCCTGCTAGAGATGCGAATCCCTCTCGGGAGCGGGCTTATCAATGGCTGCCGCGCGGTCCCCGAGGTCGGATCCGCTGCCCTCTTGGGCCAGGCCCCGGGAGCCCCTGGCTGGGCTGCTGCCTTGGAGGCTGGGGTTGGCCCAGAAGGGGCTGCAAGGGCTGCGGGCACAGGGGGTGGCCCTCCTCGGTGCTCGGCGGGAGCCGTGCTTCTCCCTTCGCCTGCAGAAGATCCTCTCTGTGCGTCTCTTCTTGACGGCAAGTCGGGTGAGCAACTCTTTTATGTTCGGATTTCATGGCGTCAGCCTTGGTGATTGCTGCAGACAAAAGGGCTCGCGTCTGTCCGCGCAAGCCTTGCTTGAGGGAGGTGGCCAGCTCATCGCCCTGCCCCTTGTCGTCCTCAGACAGGCCCTCGAAGTCGCTGCCCTCCAGCTGGAGCACGTCCCCCAGCTCGACGGGCAAGTCCTCCAACGAGCCGTCCAGGATGCTGCGCACTGTGGGGACGGCTGGCTGGAAAGTCCCCGTGCTGGGCTGCGCGTAACCCGAGTGATGATGACGAACAAGTGCACCGTGACGCTCTTCAACTTCTTGCAGCTCGGCACTGAGACGCTTGACCTCGCTGCGCTGCAAATCCAACTGAGTCTGCATCCGGTCGAAATGCTCCACCGCGCGCGAACGCCGTCCTTCTGCTGCTCGCAGTCGGTGAAGCGCCGCGGTGGCATGCTGATGGATCGGAGGCTCCTTGGCTGGCGCGCGGCGGTGGCCCAGGATACTCTAATATCGCTCGGGGCCCACCTTGTCGCCGACCTTCTGCAGGGTGCGGGCCAGCGACTACAGCTCTGCGGTGTCCAGCTGTGACTGGTCAAGGAGTTGCGCGCCATCGCTCGAGCCACGAGCGCCAGAACCAGGAAGAGGCACACGAGTGGCGTTGGCGCTGGACCTCTGCCCAGGCGGGGACGGGCCCGCCCACGCGCCCATGCGCCGCTGCTCCCGACCGAGCCAAAGTGCTTGCAGACATTGATGTTGGGGTCGTTGCGCTTGCACGGGCAGAACGCGCAGGCCCACGAGCCAGGGGCAGGAGGGGCCTTGGGCTGCTTCTTTTGGCACGCCCCAACAGCACCTGCCATGCGCTGCCCAAGGAGCGTGCCCACCTGCGCGAAGAGGTTGGTGGCCACGAGCGGAAGCTGAGACTCGAAAGGCTGCAGCCCACCGCCTCCCCCACTGTGTTGTCCCGATCTTGGCCCCCCAGCACGCGGTTGCCCTGCATACATGGCTGCTGCTGAGAGAAAGATGTAATCGTGAAAGTTTGAGTTGCGTGGAGTCGCGAGCTCCGGGCCAGTAAGACTCGAAAGGGGTTCAGAACCACTCGCCTCAATAGCCCGAACGAGGCTGGAAGTTCAGGAGAAGGCCCCTTGAGCCAAACTGGCTACGGAGGAGGAGGAGGGGGGGAAGGAGGAGGAGGAGGGGGTGTACGTAGGAGGAGGGGTCACAAGGAGCTGCACCCGAAGGCCTCCGATCCCCTGGGGGCGGCGCCTGGGCTCAGAGGCTGCGCGGCGCCGAGGATCTCCGCCCCTCGGGCCCACGGGGGGGGGGGCTTCTCCCGCCCACTCCTCCTCTCCTCGCCCTCCTCCTCCTCCTCCTCTCCTCCTCCTCCTCCTCCTCCTCCTCCTCCTCCTCCTCCTCCTCCTCTCCTCCTCCTTCCTCCTCCTCCTCCTCCTCCTCCTCCTCCTCCTCCTCCTCCTCCTCCTCCTCCTCCTCCTCCTCCCCCTCATCCTCCTCCTCATCCTCTCCTCGGCCTCCTCCTCTCCTCGGCCTCCTCCGTGTCGTGGTCCTCTTCCTCTTGTTCCTCTTCATCATGCTCCTCCTCCTCCTCCTCCTCCTCCTCTTCCTCCTCATCCTGCCCATCCGCATCCTCTTCCTTCTCCACCTCTCGACGCCTCTTCCTCCTCTTCGCTCCTACTTTCGCTTCCTCCTCCTGTTTCTGGTCCGCCTCATCCTCCTCTTCCGTCCTCCTTCCGAGTCCTCCTGCTATTCCTCGCCCCCGCCCTCCCAATCTTTGACTCCTCCTCCCCCTCGATCGAGGGAGGTCTTTGGCTTGGCCGAGGGGGTGGAGGCGAATCTCGAGGGAGGCCTTGGGCCTCATCGGATTTGTTCCGCCATCTCGCCGCGAAACGGCCGCCTCGCCACTTTCTGCCGCCCTGCCGCCCTCCTTCTCTCCCTCCTCGTCCAGTTCCCAGTTCCTCCTCAGCATCCTCCTCGATCCTCCCGAGCCCAGGGAGTGGTGACGCATAGCGTCCCCCAGCCCATGTCGGCAAACTCCTCACGCCCGAAGCCCCAAGGAGGGTGGTGCCGCAACGCGCCTTGGCACACCCATCTCACGTCTTGTGGCCTTTCAGGGTGCTCCACCGAAACCACTATGGGGCGGTGCTGCATAGCGTTCCCAGCCCAGTTCACCTCCACACGTTTCGTGACCAAAGAACGGAGCTCCACCGACAAATTTCGGCACACCGAGGCTGAAGACCACCGAGCACCGACGAAACCCGGAGAAAATATCAAATCTCAGTGCCCCCTTCCCCTATCTTCGGTTGAAACTATTGGGGGGCCGTCTCTGCTCCACTGACCGAGGCAGCTGACCGAGGCAGCACTTCCGTGGCAACTTGTGGGAACCAACTGTAACACCTTGCTGGCCCTTGGAAACCGACGCTAACCGCTAATCGACGCTTACCGTCGCTAACCCACGCTGCGTCGACGCTACACCGACGCTACATCGGCGCTATCCCATCGATGGCCAGAAGCTTATCGGCGCCCTTGCACGCAAAAGGCGAGCTGCGTCTGGCTGCTCCAATGTTGTTCGATGCGTGGGCCCTGGAGGTCTGGACCATGTACCCAGGGCCGGCTTTTCGTCCCGAGTCGTTTTTGGACGGCCCCGAAGCCTGGCGGGGGCCCCAGGCGGCCGAAAACGGCCCAACACCCGCCGCTCCCATTCTTTGGAGCGGCGGATCTCTGGGTACGTGCGGATGTGAGCAACGTTGAGCCCGTTTTCGACCCGTCGCTCAGGTAGCCGCCGTGATGCTCCAGCTCGCACCATACTCGTCGTCGTCGTCGTGGTCAATGTCGTCGTCGTCGTCGTCGTCGTCGTCGTCGTCGTCGTCGTCGTCGTCGTCGTCGTCGTCGTCGTCGTCGTCGTCTTCGTCGTCGTCGTCGTCGGCGGCGCAGGCGCGCCGCGCGCGCGCGCCGGGCCCGCGCGCCTGCCCGGAGCTGGAGCCCACTGCCGGCGCGCGCCGGGCGCGGGGGGCTGCCGGCCGCGGGCCGCCGCGGGCCCCCGGCTCCGCGCGGGCGCGGCGGGAGCCGACTCCCTGGCAGGGCTTCTGTGGCAGCCTCGGGGGTGCCTCGCGTGCGCGGGGTCCGCGTCGGATTTTCACTCGGCGGCGCGCGCAAGGGGGTGGAGGGAGGGGGCGGAGAGGGCTTCTTCGGAGGAGGCTGCTCCTGAGAGGGCGCTGGCCTTGCGTCTATGGATGAGGCCCGCGCCTTCGAAGAAGCAGGGGTGCTTGTAAGAAGCCCTCCCCCCATCCCCCCTCTGCGCGTGGCCGATTTGTACGTCGGGCTCGTCGGATTTACGTCGGCCGCACGTCGGATTTACGTCGGATTCAAGCCAGGCCATCGCCGCACGAACGTCGTCCCGTATCTGATGGGGCGTGCGTGTGGACGAGATGGTGCAACTACTGCGCAACGCGCGAGGCCTCCACGATGTTCATCATAGGAACTGGTGTCTTTTCTTGTGCCCGACGCGGGCTCGGTGCGGACCCGACGCGAATTTGGCGCGGATTCGACGCGGATTCGATACGGATGCGACGAGTCCGACATGGACTTGACAACGATTCGACGCGGATAGGGCCGCGACGGGACAGGCAAGGTCCCCCGAATATGCAACGTAACAAACCGTCCCCTTCCGTGACGTCACCGTCGCCTTTCAAGCTTCCCTCCGGCCGCATACAAGGAGGCAACTACTTGGAGGTCTTCGTCGGGAGGGTTAGTCAAGGGGCCCCAGGACACACAAATAAATACACACAAATAAAATGATCCCCCATATTTTCCTATATTTTCTGGGTTTTTGTCTTCCCGCCCAATTCCCATATTTTCCCATATTTTCTTGGGAATCGACGATTAATTGTGTCTGTGTGTTTTTTCCCCTCCTGAGTTAGGGAGAGCTGAACCCCACTGGGGGGCGGCTACGCCGGAACAGGCCACGGATGAAGCGGGAGCAAGCTGGGATGAACAGGATGAAGACAGATGGGGCGGGACTACGCCAGACCGAACCAGATTTCGGGCCAGGGCAGAGTCAGAATTTGACCTCTCAGGAGCTGCATCATCTCCAGCTGCAAACATCCCACGAAAACTGGACCGTCAAAATCCAGCGGGCTCGTCAAAAAGCGTCGGTTCCGGCGTGCTCGAATCGTTCGTGTCCCCGACACATCCGCCTTGGGGCGAGGCGAAGGGGGCGCCACGGAAGGGGACTCATTGCCAGGGGTCGGTCAGGCCGCCCCCGGCTCCGTTAGGTATATTCGACGATGGGCCCCCTGTTGCCCACAGGCCTTGTGCGGTCTCCGACGGTCTTCTGGAGGTCTTCGGCGGTCTTCGGCGGTCTTCTGCGGGTCTTCGGCGGCCTTCGTCGGAGTCCGGCGGTTTCCAGTTCTCGGCGCGAGGGCTGGATAATTGCGGTTGCAGTCAACCCGTATAGTAAGGATGCGCGGTAAGAATGCAAGGGCCATGGAGGGCCATGTCGAAGTTTTTCGAACAAGGCTGGCCACCCAAATTGCTCGGGATGAGCCAAAGGGGCAAGGATGCAATGGTAACCTTGGAAAAATCGCTCGTCCTTACTATTCGGATCCTGGATGGGGTCGGAGTAGATGGGGTCGAAGAATCGCGCCGCATCGCCGACACATCGGCGATGCATCGGCGACGCAACGGCGATGCATCGTCGACGTGGGCGATGCATCGGCGACGACGACGTGAGGCACATCGGGCTCCACATCGAGCCACATCGGCGATGCATCTGCGATGCGGCACGATCCTCCGACCTCCTCTACCTCGACCCTATGTTTACCAGCCTGGAACATATCCCTATCCCTATGCTGGGCACCTCCTCATCACGATGGCGATCTTAGGGATTCCCTCAGTTTCTGAGGGTGTATCCCTAAGATTGTCATCGCCTTCTGGCGTGTCAATCTTAGGGATAGGGATACGTTCGAGGCTGGTGAGTTTACAGGGGGGAGGATAAGGAGGAGCAGGAGGAGGAGGAGGAGGAGGAGGAGGAAGAGTAAGGAGGAGGAGGAGGAGGAAGAGGAGGAGGTCTCGAAGTTCACAAGGGGCCCATGATCGAACACCTCACCTCCACGCCACCGCCCGCGCGCCCCGGGGCAGCTCGAGCCGCGTCGCCCGCCCGCGCCGTGCCGAAGCGGGCCGCTGGCCGATGGCGCCGCCCCTGTTCGCTGGTCGATGGCGCCGCCGTCGCGGCCGGCGGAGCTTTTGACCACCCTCGCTTCCAAGAGATACCAAGCGATGCCGAACTACGGCCTGAACTGGTCAGGCCGCTTGACGAGGAGGCGCGTGGTATGACTCGGTTTTGCCTGGAAGCGAAAGCGGGGCAGGTAATTCACGCTCTGACTTCTGGCGAGTCTGCCTGCACGGACAAGAGCAAGCGCCATGAACAAAAACTTCCGGCGCTCCACGCGAATTCCGTGGATCTGGGCTGGAGGCCCCCTCACTGGCGCGCGCCAGGGGCGGCGCCGGAGGCGCCGCCAAGGGGTCTCCGCGCGGAGCGCCGAAAGTTAATGTTTCAGGCGTTTTTTGTTTTCTTCGAATGGGGACATAGGGGCGTGGTGGCGAGGCCCGTAAGGAAATCTGACCCTTCACGCAAGTCGGGACTCGCATGCACGCCTCGTCGGCCCAACGCTGCTTGAAACGGCGGCGGAGGGGGGGGGCAGGAAATGCAAGGCAAGTGAACTTGCCTTGCTCTGAGGAACTAGCCTCTCGGGAGCGTCGCCGCTGTCGTCGCTGCCGCCGCCGACGGGGCCGACGTCGCCGTCGCCGCCGCCGTCGCAAACGTCGCCGATGCCGTCGCGAACGTCGCCGCTGTCGCTGTCACCGCCGACGACGCCGTTGACGTCATCGACGCCGCCGCCATCGTCGTCGTCGTCGTCGTCGTGGCCGCCCTCCTCACACGAGCTTTGACACAAGGATCTGTGCGCGATGGCCTCTAGAGCTTGTGTCATGAGCGTGGCGATAACCCCTCCTTGCGGGACATTTCGAGTCGCGCGCGTCTCGCGTAGGACATCCTCAGGAAGACCGGCCCTCAAATGTCCTCTCGTCCGTCTCCGGCGTCATCCGGGAAATCCGGCGACAAATCCCAAACCGGCGCTCTCGCGTTGGACATCCTTAGAAAAACCGGCCCCGGAGTCTCCCCAAGGACGCCCTCATGCAGAGGCTCCCACATGTTCCTTTCTGGCGAGATCCAGGAAATCGGGCAAATCAGGCGACGAAATTCAAACTACTGGCGCCATCGCGTGGGACATCGTCAGAAAAACCGTTCCCTAGAATGAGAATCCCCACGGAGGCTCTCTTAGGCCCCTGGGCCCTGTTACGTTTTCGGCGAGATCCGGGAAATCCAGCGAATCTGGCGACGAATTCCAAACCGGAACCCTCGCGCTTAAAGGCTCCAAAATCTTAAGCGCACTTACGAGCTACCTATAGCTGGGTGTAAGTTACTTCTGTTCTGTGTTAAGTAACAGCATCTGTTGAGTACGTTCCCTAACTAAGGGCATATGTTTTAAAGTGCTTCTCTTGCGAAAAAACTTACTTGCGCTACTTCTAACTATTTTCCATCCATCGCCGAGCGGGGTAAGTTACATATATGTACTTGTAAGTTACTTAACACATTTTAGGCACCATCACTTAGTATTACTTATAAGTTACTTATAAGTAACTTGTAAGTTACCTCCTTCCCTCCCTCCCTCCCCCTCCCTCCCTCCCTCCTCCGCGCCGCGCCGCGCGCCCGCGGGCGCCGCGCGCGCGCAAAAGGAGTGAATTGGGGGAGGTAGCGATGGCGATCGCTTGCATGGGGAAGGAGGAGGAAGAGTTGGGGAGGTAGCGATGGCGATCGCTTGGGGGAGGAGGAGGAGGAGGAGGAGAAGGAGGAGGAGGAGGAGGAGGACGAGGAGGAGGAAGAGGAGTGGGGGAGGCAGCGATGGCGATCGCTTGGGTAACGATGGACGCGGTGACGCGCATGATGACGATAACGACGATGACGATGACGACTACTACGACGACGATGACTACGATACTGGCCATACTGACGACACTGACAACACTGACGATGATGATGATGACGACGATTGCCGACGATCCTGACGATGATGACGACGACTACGGCAATGATGATGACGTCGCTGATGATGACGATGACGACGTTGATGATGATGATGGCGACGACGATGGTGATGATGACAGGCGATGATGGCGATGATGGACGATCATGATGATGATGATCACGGCGATGATGACGGCGATGATGATGATGGCGACGAGGCTGCCTCAGACGACGGTGACGACGACGATGGCAGGAACTCGCCCAGGACTCCAGAACAAGGACTTCCTTGTGTTGGAGTTGAGGCTATCCACCCTATGGGTGAGAGGACGGCGCCCTCGTCGTCGTCGAGGTTGGTTTGAGGAGGTTTGGGGTTCTTGAGGTTTTGGGTTTAGGTTTTGGATTCTGGTGGTTTTGGGTACGTCGAAGTTGTTTTGGTGAGGTTTTGGTTTCTGGATGTTTTAGGTTTACGTATTGGGTTCTCTCTCCCCCGTCCCCCATCATCTCTCCAGTCCCCCATCATCTCTCCCGTCCCCCATCAACTCTCCCGTCCCTCATCGCCTCTCCCGTCCCCCATCGTCTCTCCCGTCCCCCCCTCGGGTGATACAGGAGGTTGGGGCCTCTCGGAGGCGCTTTCGGCCCGCTGGACGGGCGTTCTTGGGAGCGATGGAGATCGCTGGGGCGAGCGGGGCGTGGCTTGGGAGGTAGCGATGGCGATCGCTTGGGCGAAGGGGCGAGGGGGGGGTGGGGGCGGGGGCGCACGGGGAGGTAGCGATGGAGATCGCTTGGGCGAGGGGGGCGTGGATTGGGAGGTAGCGATGGCGATCGCTTGGGCGAGGGGCGGGGATCGCTTGGGCGGGAGGGGGCGAGGGGCGGGAGGTAGCGGTGGAGATCGCTTGGATCGCTTGGGCGAGGGGGGCGTGGATTGGGGGGTAGCGATGGAGATCGCTTGGGCGAGGGGGGGCGTGGATTCGGGGGTAGCGATGGGCGAGGGGGGGCGTGGATTGGGAGGTAGCGATGGAGATCGCTTGGGCGATGGGGCGAGGGGGCGGAGGTGATGGGGGGTGGTGGTGGGTTGGTGTGGGGTGGTGGTGGTGGTGGTGGTGGTGGTGGTGGTGGTGGTGGTGGTGGTGGTGGTGGTGGTGGTGGTGGTGGTGGTGGTGGTGGTGGTGGTGGTGGTGGTGGTGGTGGTGCGGGGGTGGGGGTGGGTGGGGGCGCTGGGAAATAGCGGTGGCGACCGCTTGGGCGAGGGGGAGTGCATGGGGAGGTAGTAGCGATGGCGATCGCTCGGGAGTGGGTAAGGAGGATGGTATAGAGGAGGGGGTGATGAGGCGGAGGATGAAGCTTATTCGACCAGAGAGCGGATGGAAGTGGTGGATTGAGTGAAGAGCATCAGGGAGGGGGAGGGTTGGGGAGGGGGGGGAGTCGGAGGCGGTGGAGGGCAAAGCGATCTCGATCGCTGTGCGGTCATTGCCGCTAGATCAGCCGTCCACTGGTTAGCCGCTGCTGGCCCTGGCGGGTGCGCGCGCCCCCGTTGCCGCCGCGCTAGCATCATGGCGGCCATCGCGCTGGTGGAGCAGCTGAAGGCCGCCGCGTCGTTCCTCTCTCAGCTTGAGAAGGGGAGCAATGCATATAAGGAGGTCGTGACGGCGCAGTGCGGCATGGCGATGCGCGTTATGGAGCCGTGGACCTTCGTCTCCGCCGAGGACTCGGCCGCGCTGAACTTGCAGATCGGCAAGATGCCATTCGGCAAGAAGAAGATGGCCATGCTGCTCGGCCGCATCACGGAGTTAGCCACAACGTCGGCGAATATGTTGGTTGCCAACGCTGCCGCGGGCGCAGAGCTGATGTCGGTGACCAGGACGCCCATGCAGGACTTCACGTCGATCACATCATACCTGACGGCGGCGCAGTGGGCGGACATACTGGATACGGACAGCGACTTCATGGGCCGAGTTGCGGTCATGATGCAGGCGTGCAAAAAACTCGGGTTGCGCACGTTGCATGAGCCGACGATCCAAATGGCGACGTGCACCGCCCTCGCGGTGGAGGGCTTCGAGCGGGCAATGCGCCAGCCCCCGTTGGCCTTGTTCGGCTATTTCAAGAGGGCGAAATCGTACACCAAGAAGCTCCTCCCGTGGAAGGAGTGCAAGCGCCTCGCCGAGGTGGAGCCGTCGTTCGTCGATGAGCTCCCCGCGGACACGGTTGCCATGCGGAGGGCGCACCGAGACGTCTATTCTCGCGTGTACGCCGAAAGTGGCGATGTCCCAGTCAAGTGCCCGCTGGACGTCACCCAGCTGCTCGTGTTGAGCGACGCTGTCCCGATGCGGGAGAACAAAGCCCGCCTGAAGAGCTCTCCTGAGCAATCGAGTGTCGACATGGCGCTGCAGCTCGCCGACAGGGCGATTGCGCTGAATCGCGGGCGCGAGGACAGCGGTGCGTTGCGCGACCGCGACGTTCCCTTCAGGCGATACACGCCCAACCATGCCGAGCCGCCGCCGCTCGCCGACGCGGCGCCCGCGCCCGCCGCGTCGGCCGATGCCAAGACGCCGTCGAAGCACAGCGTGGAGGAGGCAAGGGACAAGATCTACGCGCAGCTGGGGGGCAAGACGCCGAGCGTGCCCCACAAACCGCCGTCGCTGAGCGACAACGAGTCGGATGACAACGGCAGCGACGACGACTCCGACTCCGGGAGTGGCGCCCCCGCGGCCAGCGCGGCTGGTGATAAGAAGAGGAAGGCCGATGAGGCGAAGGCGGAGGAGGCGAAAGGGAAGAATAAGAAGAAGAAGAACAAGAAGATCAAGAAGAACAAGAAGTCGACGAAGGAGACTGCCGCTGCGGCGAAGGCGGCGGACGATAAGAAGACTAAGCAGAAGAAGAAGGCGAATGTGGGCAAGAAGTCCCCGAAGCCATCGTACTCGGTGGAGTGGTCCCGCGACCAGGTCTTGTGCCGAACTGGCCTTAAAGGTGCAGGCCAGTCGGTTGCATACAAGTTCGCCGACTACGGCGGCAGCAGCGACAAGGCGATCTCGGCGGCCAAGAAGTGGGTGGCCACGCAGACGAAGAAGTGCGTCGCGGGCTGATTCGCGCGCTACTGAACGGTGCGGGCGCGATGATGATGATGCTCTTTCGCATCTTGGGATCCTCCGACCCTGCGGCTCGCAGCAAGTCCATCCTCTTGGTGGCAACTGTGGCGGGCCAGCTGTTCGCCCTCGTCCAGCAGCTGGGGATGCTGGGCTGAGCCTGGTCGGCGATAATTCGCGCGCGGGTGCTGCAACGGCGCAGCATGCATGCGTTGTCGAAGACGCCTCGTCGACTACGCCGCCGAGGATGGGGACGTGAAACATATGGAGGAGGGTAGCGATGGTGATCGCTCGGGGAAGGATGAGGAAGAGTGGGCGAGGTAGCGATGGCGATCGCTCGGGGAAGGAGGAGGAGGAGGAGGAGGAGGAGGAGGAGGAGGAGGAGGAGTGGGAGAGGTAGCGATGGCAATCGCTTGGGGAAGGATGAGGAAGAGTGGGCGAGGTAGCGATGGCGATCGCACGGGGAAGGGGGAGGAGGAGGAGGGGGAGGAGTGGGGG